GATCTGTGGATTCAATTCATGCAAATACTGGACGCACTCTAAGATCTCTTTGAATATATGACACGAAATGTAAAACTCGATTGAATTCATGGGTTCTCCCGGTTGTCGACCAAATACTTGTGGTTTAAGTGTAAGAATATTCTGTAGACTATCGGAACACAACTCCATTTGAATGTAATAAGTAGTGCTGTCGACCCACGAACCCAAACAATTGACCACATATTGTGAGTTCACTTTCAGTGAATTATCCAATTCTGCGGTCAATTTAGCCAATGTTTTGATCACAACTCTTGAATCCGACTCATCCTTTTGGACTGAAAACAACATTTAAAATATAATAAAATTAATATTAATAACAGCAGTTATTCTTAAAAATAAGTTACAATTTATATTAATAAATTTTACGGCATATTCTCTTCCATCAGATTTATCCTTCACTTTCCACACCTCACCAAAGGATCCCTTTCCTATGGGACACAGCCTATCAAATCTATCGATCCAATCAATTGGACTATCATTTGAAGGATTATTTTCTATTCAATAATTCAATAATTCAATTATTTCAATATAAGTAGTAATATGTAGCATACCATCGACTCGTTGTTTAATTCTGTCAAACATTTGAATTAAGAATTCATTGCATTTTGTTAGAAATTCTTCACTTGTATTGCAATTATATTCCTTATAATCGCTTAAATGAATGGTTTTATGAGTCAATTGGTGTTCGTCTGTATAGTAATCAAAGAAATTCTCGTAATTTGTTTCAATCATTTCTGTTGTGTCCAGTATTGAGTATATTTTGCCATTCATTAGAGCCGCTATGATATGCTTTTCTTCGCTACTTTTTCTATGGCTATAGATTTCATGCATTTCTTCACATTTCTTATCGCTATTCAATACTTTTGGTGTCTTTTGTATGAATTTATCTCCGCTTTCATCCACATATAGCCCACAAAAATATATGAATCCATCGTTTGATAGGAAATATGAACTCAATTCCGTCGCACATATAGTCTTAATTTGATTGATATTATCAACAAATTGTGGTTTTGATACGTCTTTCGACAAATTATGTCCCAATTTATAGCAATGGTTTGAACCCCAGCTAAACACATATCCATCTGTTGTGATGGCATATGAGGAGTAATTTCGACAAAAAATGCTTTTAATCTTATAATCAATTAAGTTATGACTGAAATGCAGTTTTTTGGGCTCATATTGAATGACCGAAGAGTCACCACAACCTAATTGTGCGGATCTATTGTCACCCCATCCGTAGACATCGCCATCACTAGTGAGGGCCAGTATGTGATACATACCGCAACTTATTTCGCAGATTTTCTCATGATTTCGAAACAAACCATTATTTTCTCGGTCTATGAATCCCATGAAATCCATTTGAAATACTTTGACCGGTTTTTCGCATTTCATAAGTGCCGACAAATGTGAGCCCAGGGGTTGACACCAACAATAAATACAGTTCCTATCATTTATAGCCAAAACCAATTGATGTCCCGTAAGAAAGCGCTGAATATTCTGGTGACACAACTCTGGGATGACTTGCGGTTCGCTCCGATGGTCATTGCCTCCCAATCCAAGAGATCCCCAGTAATTAGATCCCATACCGTATACCATATCATCATTTGTTATGAATAATACATTACATCCGTATTCATCATCAAAAATATGAAATATCTTAATAGATTTAATCATATTCTCTACACTTTGATCCATATTTGTGGCAAATGGTCTGTTAATGTCTGTACTGTACTACAGACTCTGTAGATTACATGAAGTCTATTGGGTTCACACGTTATCAATTATAATGTATTAAAAAGTAATAAATTATTTTTTATATTAACAGTTTGAACGTTAATTCTTTGTGAGTCAGTCTAATAAGTCTAATATTCACACAAATCTTTGTTCATATAAAGTATGAAATGCTCATTAATTATGATTATTTAGTTTATTGTATTCTTAATCATAAGATATTTCATTATTTATTATGAATATTATGTCACTAAGATGTTTGTAACACCTATTTCTGGTGCTCATTGGACAGTTATATTATAATATTTCATATTGAATACCCACGCTACTTTTCACTTTTTTATCAATTTGCATTCGAGATTATATCGCATAGCAAAAGCATGTATGCAAACAAATGAAATAATTATTTTACTTGATATTTGCCATGGATATTGGAAAATATGTTTACAAAATTTCCAAGAAATACAATCATAATTAAATAATTAACCCAAACCTATATCATAGACACCGAAACTTATTATAATTTGGGATTTTATAGACTAATCATGACTTACATTAAATTATGCCTAAAATATTTATTGGAAATACTGGTTACCACTGGTAACTTACCAGTGTCTCTATAATCAATTTAAACTATCGATGCATTAAATCATACTTTCAAATAGCTAGGTACAAAATTATTAAACAGAATAAACTTTATAAAAATACCATGCTATTTAAAAATACCATGCTATTTAAATAAAATTTTAGTGTTTAATCAAATATAACAGTATTTCCTATTTAGCGCTCATTCATTCAAAACTTTTGCCACATTTATGTGGTTTCCATAGAAACCCACAAACAGTAAACAAAATCACATTTTATTTGAAATGAATGAACAAAACAGACATTTATTGAGACAATTGTCGACACTTTTGCCACCGAAACACATCCACCAATTGGTCACTGATTGTCATCACATGCGCGACCATATCATTGGTGAACCTGTTATCCACTTAAGACACGCCATCGAAGTCTACATCACGGAAGCGTTGACTAACGCAACGAGCGATGAATGCGTTGATAATAACCTCACCTCCGATGACGACAACGTCACCCGCGAAGACATGCGACTCAAGTGCGAGGCTATAGTGGACGCGATGTGGGAGCGGATCAATTGCGGTGATTGGCAGCGGGTTTTACTCGACTATCGGTACTGTTTTGCGTACTCATCGCTCCTGAAGGCATTCCTCGATGTCTTACCACTCGTCAGAGCCACTGACAGGGAGTACTGTTTGCGGCAAAAGGTGTCTGCATTGCGTTCACTAGATTTGGGACTTTTAATGAGTCCTAAACTCAATGATTGCAACATTTTGGCCAAAATGGCGACAATTATTCACGAGTCCATACAATCCGGTGATAATGAACGCCATCGCGAGTCAGACACCACTTCCAGCTGTGATAACACAAGACATAAACGCCTGAAACGTCACTCATTTGATAGTGAGTCGAGTGATAAGTGTTTTGACGGCAAAGAGTTAGACGAAAGTGAGTGCAAAACCGGTGCCAAAGAAGTTACGATACCGTCGATG